CTTCAGCTAAGTGGGGTTTATCTCTGTGGAAATATGCTGAGGGCTGTGCTGCAAATCTCACTGAACTTGCTTCTGAGTGAGCACATGCACTTGGTCTGCATGGTCTCCCAAGGACAGTTGAAGGGGGAAATCATTAAACATCTTAAAATGGATCTCACCATCTACAGAGGCACTAGATAATGGGTTCTTAATTACATCCTTTGGTTGCTCATAGGACATTGGTTTTTAATGTGCTCATTATCAAGCCTGGCTTTTTATTTGTACTAAAACAGTGGAGATGGCTATGATCAGAACCTGAGTCAGTACCCTCAAAAGTCTGCATAGTGCTTAATTGGTATCTTCATGGTTGGGTTCTGCTGATTCACCAGGAGTGTGGAGAGGTTCCTAGTTCACCTCCACTAAGCTAGTTTGTCCCCACAGCCGGAGGAGAAGAGGACCGAGGGTGAAGAAAGAGCTGTGAGTGGAGCGGGGGTGGGGGTGGGGAAACTTCCCCAGGAAGTCCAAAATATGGGGAAACTCAACAAACCTGTTGCACCTGAATCTGGGTGTGGAGAATGCAGCTGAATGTGACACAGCTGTGGGCAGCCTGAGGAAGTACAGGGACTTCTGCTGGTTTCTTATGATCCAAGCTTGCAGACTGTTCTCTGTTTGGTTGGCTCCACAAGCTCTTTGCTGAACTCACAGCATTTTGATGGCCTCTTTGCCAATATTCTGCTTAAGCCTGTGACTTCACTCTTTTTAGGGAAGACGATACTTCCAGGCTTTTCTTAGGCTCCTGCCTCTCTTCTGCCTTGACACTTCCACCTGCTCCAGACCTTCTACCTTCTCCTTCAGCTGCTTTATCTTCTAGTCAGAAACCTTCTGCTTCAGCAGCAGCAGACCTAACTTAGTTGTATGTCATAGATCTAGACTGTGTGTGAAGGACACAGAAAAAAACAAGTAGCCTCCATTTATCCTAGAATAAAAAATCATGTGTATGCAGCCTCAGGTTATGTCCACAGCATACAATTGAATCACTATAGTACCACTTTAACAGTCATGGCTTGTAAAAGGTGCTGAGAGTTGTTAAAAAGGTAAAGGTAAAGGACCCCTGACAGTTAAGTCCAGTTGCGAACAACTCTGGGGTTGCGGCACTCATCTCGCTTTACTGGCCGAGGGAGCTGACGTTTGTCCGCAGACAGTTTTTCCAGGTCATGTGGCCAGCATGACTAAGCTGCTTCTGGCGAAACCAGAGCAGCGCACGAAAATGCCATTTACCTTCCCGCCAGAGCAGTACCTATTTATCTACTTGCACTTTGATGTGCTTTCAAACTGCTAGGTTGGCAGGAGCTGGGATCGAGCAAAGGGAGCTCACCCTGTCTTGGGGATTCGAACCGCCGACCTTCCAATCGGCAAGCCCTAGGCTCAGTGGTTTAGACCACAGCGCCACCTGCACCACCTGTGAGAGTTGTTAGGAGACTCCTGTTCCCTCCTCCTCCTCCATCTCACATCAATCTTTGGATGTACAGCTCTTGATGTTCACTCCAGCATTGCCATTGGATGAGATTCGTTGTAGGTGTTAGGCCTCACCATTCCACACTGGCCTGACTGTGGGTTAGAAAGGACTCTTTTTCTTTAGCGTAGTAGATTTTTCTATGGGACTATATTTATTTAGACCCAGCTGAAACAGATATCCCACTGTACTTCAGTCGTTGGAGCCTCATTGAGATAAACAGGGTACACAAAGTCAAATGTGTATACCAGGTGAGGTTGGCATTTGCGTAAGAGAGGTTATATATTGCTCTTCATCACCCCACAGAGCTACAATTTCCACAGTGGTTTAACAGTCAACCCCTCTTCCCAGGGATCTATGGGAAGGTGCGGCCATAGTATTTGGCTTTAGTATTTCAAACCTCACCCTTCACATAACTCTCCGCCAGCCACACAGCAAAATTTTATACAACATTGTGCATAAAACCAACAACCCTGTTTCAGTAAACACATTTTAAAAGGCAATTTATCCCTTTTAAGTTGTAAGTTGTAGTCCATAGAGGTTGGACCAGATGGCCCCTTCCAGCTCTAGAGCCTATGATTCTAAAATGCCTGGGTGGTGGAGGCTGTACCTGTTTTCTTGCTCTAAGCGGACTTCGTTTAATCATACAGTCATATTCCTTTTGAATTGCTTTTTATGTCTTATATTTGTGAACAATAAGACTTTATTGCTCTATCTTTTTTTGCTATGCAGGATCCATCTCTTTCAACTTCTTAGCCAAGGGATTTATTTTGAAATGAAATTTCTGGATAGGGAAGCTGTTCAGTTTGTATCCTGGTTCCATTTCCTGTTTACATCAAACTGTTCTGCATCACCCCCATCATGTCACCCGGCTTCTTTGGTAGTCAGGGTGTGCTTCCTTCCATTCCCCAAATAGTCACTGTGACACAGCTGAGCTATTGTATTTTCAGAGAAAGAAATCTAGTTACAATACTCATGTCGCCTATGATGAACTGTTGGCGATAGCCGAAACGGTTAGGGGCTTACATTTATTTATTGTCCAACTAAATACTGACTCATGAATTATTTTACTTATTTTATTATTTTCGGTCTGCCTTTTAGGGCAAAGCCACACAAGCAGCTTTCCTAAAGCATAAAACTACAGTATATATAATCACAAACACATTTACCATAAAACAACAATGTGAAATAGTATAATCAAGTAACAGGTCAACAGCATCTCATTATAAAATAGGCAAAACATAAATATAAATTAGCAAAAAACCTTTAAGAGAAAGCAAATCGAAATAAATGGGTTTAAAGAATGTTTTACATGTGCTTTAATGGAAGCATATTCCCTGAGGTTGGGAAGGAGCTCCACTTGTGTGGGTTCTCCACTGTTCAGTAAAAACATTTTTTTTAAATGCCTGCTCCAAAGATCTTATCTTACTACACTAGGGATTATATAGCTATATCTGAAATTTCATGCATATCAGTTACCGTAATATCTTGTCCCTGCTCCACTGAATTGAAATTTCAGCCTGCGTGACAGAGGAAAATGGCCAAGTAAACAGCTATTTTCGTGGAGGAGGGTCAATATATTTACTGATACGCATGAAATTTCAGATATAGCTATATAATCCTTAGTGTAGCAAGATAAGACATTTGGAGCAGGCATTTAAATATATATATTTACTGTTCGGGCCCCACCTCTTGTATCTGTAAAACTTAAATTTGACCTCACCAGGAGCCCTCAGGTCTCAGAGCAAGAGAGGTCTACAAAGCAGACCTTTAGAGCACCACCTTACTAGAGTTGTGTACTGTACATTTTTGCTTGATAATACTGTACATTATGTCTGCATTCCTATATGCATTCAGTTGGATTTACTTCCCAGTCAACATGGACAGGATCAAGCTGTTGTGGGGCAGCATATACACTATCCCCAATTTTGAACATTATTTCTGTACCCAGGTTTTCAGCCTTCTGGAAAACAGGCTCATCTTGCTATTAGTGAATATTTGGTAAAGATTCAGTGTATAGCTTATCTGTATCCTGTAATAACGTGCAACCACATATTCATGCTATTCTGAATGGCCTCTACTTTCCCTCCCCGCAGAGTCAGGGCAAAATATACTTTGCTTTCAGCTTAGCAACTGCAGGGTACAGTACAGGCGGGTAGAAAGCCGCAACATATACCTACAGTATGGCAACTATGACTGCAGAGTTGTTTGAAGCTGCCGGTTTATGAAAGCGGGAATTAAATAACGTTATAAAAAGCAGCTCGAGAGACCTCGTATGGCAAGCGCACCATTTATAGTGTGGAAGCTTAATGAGGGAAAACGAAGGAATACAGTAAAACCCACGCCCTGCGCCTTCTCCGATTGCATGGCCAAATCTATCGTTGTGCTTTCATTCGACCCATTAGCTGCACGCCGGATGGCAGGCCTGGGAACTTTGTTTTTCCAAAGAGCGAGACGTCTGAACCTGGGCTTGCAGGCTGTGAACGGAGGGGTCACACCATAGCTGTCAAGTGTCCCTTATTTGAAGGGACAGTCCCTTATTCCAGTGCCATGTCCTGCTGCTGTCCCTTATTGATGGATGTCCCTTAAATGATGTCCCTTAAATTTCAAAGGAAGCAGCTCCTCTCCCTCCCTCCCTGCCGGCCAGGGAGGAGGGAGGCTCCAACTGTGTTGCTTGGCTGTATTGCTCACTCAATAAGAAGTCTAAGAACGACTGGGGCGGGGGGGTGGAGCTTGCATGCCTTGTGTGTGGCTAGTTAATGCAAGCTGAGGTGGTTTTTGAATGCTGGACGCCATTTTGTTGCACGTGCTGCTGCAAACTTTGCAGTGCAAAGCCAGGCCGGGGAGCCATCTTAAGTTGAGGCTGCATAGGCCTTGTGGTGCATGTGATTCAGATTCTATTCAGTTGAACCTCTGGTTACAAAGTTGGTTGGACAGTGTTCTCGAAGCTACCAGCATGAGTTTGACCAGACTGCAGGAGGACAGGAAGACTGGAGTGCCTGGAACAGGTGAGGCTGCAGGTCCCTTATTTTCAAGGCTGCTGGTCCCTTATTTTCAAATCTGTAAGTTGACAGCTATGGGTCACACTCAGGGAGCGGCCACAGCAGAGTAAGTCCTATTAAAGGCCAGACTTTCTTATTATGTACACGCAGACGTGTTGAGGGGGCTCTAAAGAAGCTTGCTAAACGTGCTATATATTGGCAGGTACTTTCTCCGCGGGCAAACCAGAGACGCCTGCAGCCTCCCGGGCGCGAAGACGGAGCGCTGCCTTCCCGCGGTCTCTTTCAGCTAAACCACAGGCGACCTTTCCCCCCCCCCCTCCCCTCCCCCCCGCAAACGCATTGGTACATCCCAGAGTCCTATTTATCAAGCGCAAGGAAGACCTTACCCGCTAGGGAATTCTAGGGGTGGGGGGTGGGGAAAAGGAAGTTTCTCCCGAGGTAGGAGGAGGCAGGGATTGACGGGCAGCGAGGCCAATCGCCAGCGGGGCTTCTGAGAGCGGAAGCCAATGGCGGGGCCCGAGAGCTCGGGCGCGGCGGATCAACACGTGGGAGGGAGCGGAGGGAGGGAGGGAGCGGGCGCCGCTGCGCCTGCGCCGCAGAGGGGCGGAGGGCGAGTGGCGTCGCCGCCGTCCGGCGTTCGGTGTTGGCGGCCGCGGCGGCTGCGTTCGCGAGGGAGGGGCCGTGAGGGAGGAGAATGGGCCGGGCGGCCGGGCGGGCGGCGCTGGGCTGAGCTGAGCCGCCGCGGGGAAGTTGTTGTGCTCGGGGTCGGGGCGGGGAGGCGGCTGGGGAAGGAGGGCCAGGGCGGCGGCGGCGGAAGCAGCAGCAGCAGCAGCGAGAAAGCCGGTTGGCGGGGCGTCTCCTCAGGCTGGGTCTCTCCCGCTTTGCGGAGGGAAGGGGGCAGGCGGAGGAGGCTGAGGATGGAGCAAGAGGAGATCCTGAGGAAATTCATCCAGCGAGTCCAGGCCATGAAGGACACCGACCACAATGGGGAGGATAACTTCGCCACCGACTTCATGGTACGCTGGGGTTTGGGGGGGGGGAGAAGGCGGCGGGGGGGGGGGTCGTGCGTATTGAATTCCGCGGGGCGCCTTTTTTCCTCCTTTTTTGGTGGGGCGAGGAGAGGGCGGGGCGCCTTGTCAGGCGAGGCCGTTGACCTCCCCCTCCCCCCCTATCTAGGTGCATCCTGGCCTGTCTCCCCCCCCCATCATATCGCCCCCCCGGGGTCCGTGTGGGGAGGAAGCGGGGAGAAGGGGCCTGCAGGGCTGCATCCTTCCCCCGCTTCCCTCCCCAGAAAGCCTCTGGCGTGAATGGGCTCCCTCAGCTTTGCTGTGGGGCTGCTGCTGCTGCTGGTGCTGCATGTGGCGGGGAGGCTTCCGCGATGCCCGTGGCATGTGAGGGGCTGCTGCCATTGTGCTTGCGATCCCACCCTTCCTCTGTCTCTCCCCCCCCCCAATACACCCTGCCCGCCGCTTCCACAAATAGGAATGTATGAAGCCAGAGGGGAGATTCCTGATCTCCTTTCTCCTTCTCCCCAGTTCTGCGAAGCGATCCTGCTCCAGGTAAAGTGCTCTCTCCGCATATACAACACAGTAGCATCTTGGGGTTGCATTTATCGAAATTTCAGTTCCCGGTTCCTGTTTTTGTATTCTACTGCAAAACCTCTGTGCTTTCCTTGGAGCCAGTCCTCTTGCCAACATCATCTCTTCCCTCCCCTTCAAAATCTCCAGCAGCATCCTCATTCTTTTATCCTTGCAGCCATTTATTGGTAGGCTTATCTCTGTGTGCATAGATAACGGCCTATGACCATATTTATCCAAATGGATCGTTACAGCGCCTTCATTTTTACTTCGCTCTGCCGGCTGGCGGATGATGGTTAGCTGTAATTCTGAAAACAATGTAGCTTCTAATAAAGGTTGTCGCAAATGTTTACTATCGAACAGCAAGCCTTTGGCAAGGAAGGGCTTTTTGCTTAACCCAACTGGAAATATTATTGTGCGCCTTCATTTCAATTTTGTTCTATTCGCTTCGGGGTAGAAGCATTCTGGTTAAGCTCTGGTTGAGCTGATGGCTTCAGAGCACAAAAATTCTGATGCAAGTGACAAATAAGAGGTTTCCTGAAATATAGGGAGGTGTCTACAGGATATTGCGAAAGACCAAGGGGCTGTTGAAAGTTGTTTCAGGTCTGAGGCATGGAAGAGGAAGTGGGCTTTAGGAAGCGGTTTCCTCATCCCGGGTGGGGAGGCATGGGAAAGAGGAATGGCTCTTCTGGCTGAAAGGGTTCTATTGTTCTTGAGGTAAATAGAAAAGGATTTGAAAGGAGGGGAAAGCTTGCATGTTTTACTTGACTTGAAGTAGTTACCCTGATGCACATTCCGTAAGGCTTTAAACTTCACTGGTTTGGAGCATCTACTGCTTAAAGCTGAGTGTAGAGGTGTGTTTAATTACAGTTCTTACATTTTTTTGTATAGAACATGAAATGCACAAATATTACTATTTCCTGTGAAATACCAAATAAATGGGATTGACTATGACTGTTCTCTTAACCAGTTGCAATGTTCTTATAAAGAACTTGACAAATCCCTTATTGGAATAAGGAAACATTTGTCTAGCTCTTAACTTAGTGTTCATTAGTTAGGTGCATGAAAATTGAACAAGAGGACTTGGCTTGTTAGTACTGTCTCTTTCCTGAATTTATACAGCAAGAAGGAATGAAAGTGCTAATGTGGGTGGACTTGGTTCCGGGTGTGATGCCAGATGGTTGCTTTAGTACTGTAAATGCACTGTTGTAAAACAAACTTTCCAAAACTGGCCAATGCTTTTACTGAAACGGACTCTTCCTTTTAAGTAATCTGTCCCTGTAGTAAAATAACGCTTAATAATCTGTCTCCTAATCACATCAAAGATGTTTCTGTATTGAAATGTGGAGGTGTAGGGAAAATGATTTATATATTACAGTTCAACCAATTGGTTCCCAGCATGGTTCAGAACAAAATGGCTTTTAAAGATGTATTGGCTGTATATAGGCTTGCATTTTCAGAGCTAGTGTAAGTTTCCTTTGACAAAATTTAATATCTTCAATTCACATTCTCCTATGCCTGTGTGCTGTTTTGAACACTCTTGTCCAAACAATCCACACATAGTCACTTTAATTAAAGGGTTTACAAGATCCTGCTTTCTTCTGACTTTGTATGCTACTCTTTCCTTAAGACTTTTCTTTCACCTTCCTTACTTCTTTTAGGGCAGAGGTGCCTAACCTGTAGCCTGTCAGATGTTATTGGACTCCGACTCCCAGCAGCCTCAGCTGGCATAGCCAGTGGTCAGGGAATGTGGAAACTGCTGAAATGGGAAAGTATTTGTCAGAAACCTGAAATACAGCTAGGAGGAAGCCTGTCTAATCTCAGTAGGGTGGAGTTCCAGAGGACTGGGCCTGCAATGGGAGCTACAAGCCTCTGAACATTGGGAGACCACTAACAGATTATAAGGGATCAGGTGTTCTTGGCAAGGTAATGGTCACAGAGGGGTCATCCCACAGCAGAGAGATCGAAACAGGGTGGTGGCCTTAACCAGTCACAGGACAAGAAGGACCCTCCCTTGTAGATCTTAAAACATGGGGACACTGGTATAGGGAGAGATGTTCCTAAAGTATTTGTCCCAGTGTTAGAAGCTCAGATATATAAACTAATTTGTGCCAAATGACACCTTAAACCAAGGTTTTAGTTGCCACGATGGAATGCCTAGGAGCCTTTTTTTTTACAATGAAATTTATTATTATGACTATTATTATTCATTTAATTTCTATACCACTTTATATTTTAAAGAAAAATTGTAAAAGCGGTTTACAACACGATGATGATGATGATAACAATAATACTAATAACATTTTTATACCCTGCCCATCTGGCTGGGCTGCCCCTGCCACTCTGGGCGGCTTCCAACACATATAAAATCACGAAATCATTAAAACATCAAATAAAACAATCCAGAATAAAACAGATTCAAACCTAAAGGAAAATATTTCAAATCCTCCTTTAAGTGACATTTTGCTTTCCCCATATTTATTTACCTGCTTAATTTATATAGCCCCATAGCAGTACTGTATGAAGCCAGTGTGCTGCAGTGGTTAGAGTGTTGGACTAGGACGGGGTCAGCAACCTTTTTCAGCCGTGGGCTGGTCCACCGTCCCTCAGACTGTGTGGTGGGCCAGACTATTTTTTTTTGGGGGGGGGAATGAACGAATTCCTATGCCCCACAAATAACCCAGAGATGCGTTTTAAATAAAAGCACACATTCTACTCATGTAAAAACATGCTGATTCCTGGACCGTCCGCGGGCCGGATTGAGAAGACGATTGGGCCGCATCTGGCCCCCGGGCCTTAGGTTGCCTACCCCTGGACTAGGACCTGGGAGATCAGGGTTCAAAACCACACTCAGTCATGAAGCTCACTGGGTGGCCTTGGGCAGTAACAGCCTCTTAATGTATCTACAGGGTAGGGATTAATTGAGAAGCAGTGCTAGAAACTCCCCAGGCACCAGGTGCATTTTGCAACTGGCACGGGTCCAATTGTGACCATGTGGAGATCTCTGGATGCCATGTTGGCAACTGACATCTTCATCGGGCTGGCCCCCTCCAGCTTTCTTAAGCAGCTAAGCAGAAGAGCTTATTGATTGCATTTATATCCCACCTTTTTCTCCAGTGAGTACATGGTTCGTCCTCCTCTTCGTTTAATCCTTACAACGACCCTGTGGGGTAGGTTAAGAGGCTGTGACTGGCCCAAAGTCACCCTGCAAGCTTCATGCCTGTTTTGGTCTGCTACCACTATCTTTAGTAAACACTCCTGCCAATTGTTCTAACAGAAAAAGCATACCACTCCTGAGAGCCTTGTGCCTGCTGGTGTGCCTATTTTAGTTCTGGCAATGTGGTCATTACACCTAGTTTGACAGGTGTCTTTATATTCCTTCATATAGCAAATTACTCATGGTTTCAATTTTACATTGCCAAACTAGCATTGTTCCTGCTTGGTAACTTCAGTTGCCCCGCAGGCTCTGATTTTGGCAGATACTGGCTGAAGAAGCAGAGTATGGAGCCTTCATTGCTGCCTGCTATCAGATAATTCAGTGGTGGCTTCCCGCTTGTGGAATGCTTTCCCCAGGGTGGCATGCTTGATGCCATCTTATTTTTAGGTCCTAGGCAAAGACTTCTCTTTATCTGAGCTTTTTGGCTTTTAATTTGAAGGTCCTGTTGTGGGTTGGGATCTGTATGTTTATAGCTCTGTTTTTAGATTTTGATTGGTTCTTCTTAATTGGTAAGTTGCTTTGGGTCACTCTGTGAGAAAAGTGGCTAACAAATATAAGAAATAAAAATGTGTAGATTGTCATCCTACTTAAAAGCTTGATTTTATAAAGGGCTGGTATTCAACTAATCATTACTTGGGGTAGAGCCATTGAAATGGAAGGATCTAAGGCAGCCATGTTCATTAATTTCAGTGAGACTACTCTAATAGTTAGTTGAATGCTACTTAAAGTATTTTTAAGTCAAGTATGATCTCAGTCAAGTTAGCAATTTCACTAGCTTCATGCTCTAATCATTATCTGAGGTCCCACTTGGTTCCTTCATTCCTCTGAAACATAGCTGGCAGTAATGAGGGCTAATTCTATGGAATTCAAATAATAATGAATGAAACACAATATAAGAAATAAACAAAATTCACAGACATGCTGTGGAATACCTAAATGAAGTTTGCAGAGCACAGTTTTGGAACCCCTTGATTACGGCTATCTTGTAGTGGCATCCACTATGTGAATTTTTTTGCCAAGTAAGGTCTGTATGGCCCCATCACTGTTTTGTGTTAGGGGACTGCTAAAATGTGGCTGTTTAAAAATGGCTTTGGCTGATTATTTGTTCTTCTGATGAGTTTACCGTTTTGGTTTGGCAGTTGTGGAGAATTGAATCCATGGGTTTACATTTGGAATAGTTGGCCAGTTTGTTGGATGGCTGTGATATATAATAGCCAAATTAATATATTCTATTGTGTATTTCATTAAGAACTCTGAATTACTGAAAAAAGATGACTCAGAATAATAGAATTGTACAGCTGGAAGGGATCCTGAGCACCATCTAGTCTAGTTCTCTGCAGTGCAGAAATATGCAGCTGTGTAGAGTTCAAACATGTAACCTTGATATTATAAGCACAATGCTCTAACCAACTTGTTTCACATTGATTCACTTCCTAGTTTGGCTAAAATGCATGCTTTCTAATCTGGAACTGTTGTAGTTCCATGTCGGTATTGGATTTGATGGCTAGGCTAGTTCAGCATTTCTAAAGGTTAGTTGATAGATTCTTAATCTGAATTTTTAATGGCTACTCAACATTTGAAAGCAAGTTGTCTAACTTCATCCTGGAGTCTGCAGGTGAGAAAATGAAAGTGCTCGCTCCAGAGCTAATTACTATTCAGGTCATCACTCCACCAAAACATGTTTTTTAGCTTACTGATGATAAACTCTTACGCAAGTGATCAGCATCATCCTCAGAACCTGTGTGATTGGGCCCTGGAGAAGGGTGGGTTAATGGGAGCTCTCTGTGGAAGGCCTGACCAGACTTCTTATTGGAAGTAATGTCCAGATACTTTGCAGTGTCCTTGCCTCTAGTAACGGGCACTGTAGTGCAGTTGTGCGTAGGAGTCATGATGAATTGTCCTTGACGTGGTTTTATATACACGGTTGCAGAATACATGTAAAATATTTCATAGTTCTTCATGGTGTTGTTGCGGAACAGTGAGCTGTAGCATTAACACACTCATCCATAATGGGAAGGCGAGAGAGCTCTTGTGACTTGGAATAATAGACGTTAAGCATGATTATACGTTGACTAACGGCAGATCTGGAGAAGGATGGAAGGAATAGCTACCAGGGTGGATTTGATTTAAATCATGATTTAAATCAGTAGTCAGTAAGACTTGATTTAAATCACTGTTTTCTTTTTTCTTTTTTACAGAAAGACTCATTCTTGATGGTATAAGGTTTCATTTTTGGAATAATAAATTTTCAGGGTAGTTTTTACAGTTATATCAAAATTACTGATTTGGTTATACTATTAGAAATACATAGGTAATTATGAAAATATTGGAGGGTTTAATAAGGTATCTATTTATAGGGGCTATATCTCCCAGGACGCGGGTGGCGCTGTGGGTAAAAGCCTCAGCGCCTAGGGCTTGCCGATCGAAAGGTCGGCGGTTCGAATCCCCGCGGCGGGGTGCGCTCCCGTTGCTCGGTCCCAGCGCCTGCCAACCTAGCAGTTCGAAAGCACCCCCAGGTGCAAGTAGATAAATAGGGACCGCTTACTAGCGGGAAGGTAAACGGCGTTTCCGTGTGTGGCTCTGGCTCGCCAGAGCAGTGATGTCACGCTGGCCACGTGACCCGGAAGTGTCTCTGGACAGCGCTGGCCCCCGGCCTCTTGAGTGAGATGGGCGCACAACCCTAGAGTCTGTCAAGACTGGCCCGTATGGGCAGGGGTACCTTTACCCTTTTTTATCTCCCAGCAGCCCTGGCATTGGAGAGGCTGACCTTCCTTTGTCTAGGAGGTGAGGGGGAGACATACAGTTGGTAGGCCTAGGCTGGAACAGCTTGCAGAAAGAAGCTGGAAAAGGGGAACCAAGGACTGGAGCGGAGAACTTCGGGAATTCCTGCTGCAGGAGACTTTATTGTTTGGAGAATGCCAGGCGAGCCCTGGGAAGCAGGGTACTGGCAAGTACTTCAAGGTCTTCCCAAGGACTTACAGGTCCCAGTTCCTGTTTCCACCACTACCCCTTTGGATTTGCTTCTACATTCAGGTGCCTATTCTGTACAGTTAAGTGTCAGTGCAGTTGTTGGAACCCAGTGGGATTGGGAAGAGATTGCCAGCCCTGAAGTGACTTCAGCATTTGCCTCAAGTCTGTGTTGCACAGACATGCAACTGACTTGCACTATTATTACACAAAGATCCCAAGACTTGTGGAGTATTCTGCTCACAAGGTTGCACTTTCATTTTTACTGCTTCACACTTAGCTCCTTGTGCAGATCTATTCCACTCCAAACAATCTATTGGAACTTTTGTAACTTAGCATTTAAGAGGTAAGGGGCTGATTCTGTGTATATAATTTGCAAAGGAACAATGGGATCAAGGTTTTCCCCTCAACTCTGTATGTTTATTTTAAGACATCTTTCCTGTAAAAAAAAGGCATGTTATCACTGCAGACACAAATTCATGCTTTTGAGAACTGCAAAAACAAGCATCTGTGATAATATCTTCTCGTTAGAAAAACTGCCCCAAATAATCTTACAGAAACCAATGGATTAATGGAACTCATTTACCAAAAAATTTAAACATTGCATATAAAGCCTCATGCTACATAATAAAAAACATCCTTTTTTCATGATGAATAGCCTTTGGACTATAATGTAATTTAAATAGAAAACTATCTTTAGAAATATTTTTCCTCCAAAAGCATTTTATTTTAATAAATCCAATTTAAATAAAAAAACTGATTTAAAT